CCCCGGGCCCCCCGGGGGCCCCCCCAGCTGCCTGGCCCCTTGGGGGTGTCTGGGGGTGGCCATACCCAGCCTCATCATTCAGCAGTGCCTTCCCCCATGAGGCCTAGTGGCAGTGGTGGCCGCCCTGAGGGCTTCCTGGGCCAGCGCTGTAGGGCAGTACGACCTACACGCTTGTCCCTGGAGGGACTGCAGACCCTTCCCAGCATGCAAGAGTACCCTCTACCTGCAGAGCCCAAGAGCCCTGGCGAGTATATCAACATTGACTTTGGTGAGGCAGGTACCCGGCTGTCCCCGCCTGCCCCCCCACTGCTGGCATCGGCAGCTTCATCCTCTTCGCTGCTTTCAGCCAGTAGTCCTGCATCATCCCTGGGTTCAGGTACCCCAGGCACCAGCAGTGACAGCCGGCAGCGCTCCCCGCTCTCTGACTATATGAACTTGGACTTCAGTTCTCCCAAGTCCCCTAAGCCTGGCACCCATAGTGGGGACACAGTGGGCTCCATGGATGGCCTTCTCTCCCCAGAGGCCTCATCCCCATACCCACCGCTACCCCCACGTCCTTCTGCCTCCCCTTCTTCTCTGCAGCAGCCTCTGCCACCTGCCCCAGGAGAGCTATACCGCCTGCCTCCAGCATCAGCTGCCACTTCCCAGGGACCTACTGCTGGCTCCTCAAAGTCCTCGGAGCCTGGGGATAATGGCGACTATACCGAGATGGCCTTTGGTGTGGCTGCTCCCCCGCCACAACCTATTGCGGCACCCCCAAAGCCAGAAGGTGCCCGAGTGACCAGTCCCACATCGGGCTTGAAGCGGCTAAGTCTCATGGAGCAGGTGTCTGGGGTGGAGGCCTTTCTTCAAGTCAGCCAGCCCCCTGATCCCCACCGGGGTGCCAAGGTCATCCGTGCAGACCCACAGGGGGGGCGACGTCGCCACAGTTCAGAGACCTTCTCTTCTACTACCACAGTCACCCCAGTGTCCCCCTCCTTCGCCCACAACTCCAAGCGCCACAATTCGGCCTCTGTGGAAAACGTCTCTCTCAGGAAAAGCAGTGAAGGCAGTGGCATCCTGGGAGGAAGTGATGAGCCACCCACATCCCCAGGACAGGCACAGCCCTCGGTGGCTGTGCCACCAGCGCCACAGGCTAGACCATGGAACCCGGGTCAGCCTGGAGCTTTGATTGGCTGTCCGGGAGGGAGCAGTTCTCCCATGCGCAGAGAGACCTCCGTGGGTTTCCAGAACGGCCTCAACTACATTGCCATTGATGTGAGGGATGAGCAGGGGTCCTTATCGCAGACTCAGCCTCAGCATCCACAGCCAGGAGACAAGAGCTCTTGGGGCCGGACCCGTAGCCTTGGGGGTCTCCTCGGCACCGTGGGAAGCACTGGCAGCAGCGGGGTGTGTGGGGGCCCAGGCACTGGAGCCTTGCCCTCTGCCAGCACCTATGCCAGCATCGACTTCTTGTCCCATCACTTGAAGGAAGCCACAGTCGTGAAAGGTGAGGTCCTTTGACCTTGAGGCTGTGAGGGAGGGTGGTGTTTTGGGTGGCTTTGGATGTCACTCTACCCTAGTGGTTCCTTGGCTGCCATTGTCTTTTCCCGAAGAGCTTGTCAGGAACTTTGGCTTAGCTTTTGAGTAGAGTTTGGGGAGACTTTGACCTTGGTTTAAGGTCCAGTCATCTCTTGCGTGGGTCGTTGTGGTCCTGCCTTTCCCATCTGCTGGCTGGGTGGAGACTCTGCAGAGTGGCCACTCCAGAGGGAAGTTGTTTAGATCTTCACAGTTGAGGGTGCTAAAAGGTGCCAATATAGGCCCTGTATGTGAGTGACTGGGCCCCAGGCCACTGCTGTCCAGCTAGAAGGTTTATTGAAACACACCCCAGAGTCCCTCAGGAAGGGAGCATAAGTCTTGGTGGCTGCTCAGAGCAGCAGCTCCTGTCATATCCAGTTCTCACTGTGACAAGCTTGTCCATCCAAGAGGCACCATAGTTCTCATAAGGACATGGTAGTAATGCAGCTTGGCTTACATAGCCTCATGGCAGCTGTTCTCACCTGAGCATAACTGGGCGTTTTCCTGGAGGGTTTCCTGTCTGTGGGTACTAGGCAAGTAAACCTCCCAGGATTTCTGGTGCTGCAGGTCCAGAAGGTGACAAAATGGCATTGTTAATAAGTCCCCAGGTAATGCTGGATATAAGTATAAATCTCTGGGGAGGTTTGGGAACTTAGGAGCCACTGGAAGTACCTTGTGGGCTGGGTGGATCAAGGAGTGGGAGTTGGCTTAGGGACAGGATGGGCTCGGCTCCTCAGAGCACCCCAGGCGGTAATACTCAGCCATGGTTCAGGATCAGGGATTGAAGTGCAGGCCTTTCCCAGGAACAGTGGGACTGGAGGGTTCTATCTGCTCCCCAATTTTCAAATATCTTGCTGTGCAGCTGGCGAAGTGTCTGTGTCTATGAAATGGCTGGAGTGTAAGAGGGTAAGGGGGACTGGAGTGCTGAGTTCTGCTGTTTTTTGCCTTGTCTGTTTCTGGATGGGGTTGCTAGCAGGACAGACTGGTGCCACAGTGGAGCTGGTGGTGTTTCACAGGGACCTGTACACTTTTGGTTCTTAGGGTGAGCAGAACAATGCTATCTACGTTCAGACTAGTATATTTGGGGCTGTTAATTTATAGGCTTCAGGCTTATAATACCATTATTCTAGGGTAATAGATGAAAAACTAGTTCTTCTATTATTATAATTACTAACTGGAGCAGAGGAAGAGGAGTCTCCAGGAATTACCAGTAGAACAGCACTTCAACATCTAATTAAATCAGCCAGAAGGAGGCAAAGTGTCTCCTTCGTGGTCAGTCTTCCAGGTGAAAATCACTTGGTCAAAGTTTTATTAAATAGTACAAAGTGTCTTTTTCTTTTGTTTTTCAAGACAGGGTTTCTCTGTAGCTTTGGAGCCTATCCTGGAACTCACTCTGTAGACCCGGCAGGCCTTGAACTCACAGAGATCCACCTGCCTCTGCCTCCTGAGTGCTGGGATCAAAGGCATGCTCCACTGCTGCCACCACCAGCACTACCATGCTGGCAGTACAAAATTTCTAAAGCCAAGGAGTTGAGGCTAGGTAAGCCACAGGTCATCTAAGCACAACAGGGTGTGACCAAATCGGGAAAGTCTGTTTGCCCCCCACCACACACACACTTAGCAACTTCCATGTCCCTGGTAGAGGAGGTGGGTAAACAGGCAGAGTTGGGGCTGGGTGGGTGGTCTCCTACTTTGGAAACCCCCCAGCTAAAGCCCACACTCTGGAGCCTGTGGTATAGTCACTACCTTCAGAAAGTATTCACTGGCAGATGAGAAAGAATGCTGACCCACAGGCAGGGGGAGTGTGTTTAGACACCTGGTTCTTCTAGTCCTGCTTAAGGTTTCCCACCGGGATAAAATTCCTGTCAGCCTGCAGAGTTCACACGAGTGAAATCCAAACGGTTCTTCCTACACGAAGATACGGAGGCAGCTTGGTTACTATTGTTCTGAGTTCTGTGGAAGTTATGCTAAATTTCCTAAGAAGGGTATTTTAGAGAAAAACAGATAGCTACTTTTCCTCTATTTTGTGCCAAAGCCACATGTTCAAAGGGAGGCATACATGCCAAATTAGATTTCTAGCATATTGACCTGAGTAGAGAGCAGTATCGGAGTGTGGTGGGGGAGGTGAACAATTCTTGGCCCACAGAGCTGAACCCTTGATGTTTGTTGAGCCACAAAGGACCACCGAGAACCCCTGGATGAACGTCTTACTGTGTGTAGCTCACATCCAGATAGAAATTGGTGGTGTATGCGTATGAAACATTTTTTGTATAGTGGTATGCTGTGAGAGGGCCATTTGTGGAAACCAGGCTAGAAGCATGAGTTTGAGGCTGAAATGCAGAATGTCCTCGATGCTATCCAAGCTCTGCCCAGGCTCTCAGCAGTGAGTGCCCTGTGCTTCCATTCCAAGCTGCTGGCTCATCTTCTCCTGGGCAATCCTCATGAGTTACACAGACACGGAATAATTTAGCTCAACCTGGGTAGTGTGTGCATAAGGAATATAGACAAAGTCCTGGCAGTGTTTCATAGTCGAGTGGGGTTGAATTGGGAATGGGGGTGGGTGTTTCTTACACAGCTTAAGAGGCTAGTACCCCAGTATTTGTGTAGTCCGATGGATTGTTGTCTTGTTTGGGAACTGGAAGTTAATTGAATTAACTGTGTTTTAAAACTACTTCTTACAAAATTATGCACATTATTGACAATAGGGTTATAGATTGGCATGCTCCCTAAAATGTTGGTTTTCCTCTGTAAAGGGATTTTCATGCTGCTAGTTTCTGATGTTGAAGAGGCTGAGCAGGTAGATGAGTGCTGTGGGAAGCAGCTGTATTTAGTTCGGTTTGATCAAAAGCCTATTCACACATCCTTCTTTTACAAGGTTGTCAGATAAGTGGAGTGTTTCCAAAGGAGCTGGGGGTTTTGGGAGGGTCTTGATTTAGTCTAGAAAGTTCTGCCTTGATCTCTGGAGCCAGCACAGCAAGCTTCAGTGGGTGCCACCTAGGCCTGGTGCCTGGGGGATGAGATATTGCTGTGCAGGATGGCTCTCACCTCTTAAGGAAGAGGCAACTGAGGTGCTAAGGGAAACACTCTGGCTTTGGTGAATGAAAGTCACGTGGCCAGTTCTGCTTCCTTTATTGAAAGAAAAGCCTTTACTGAAGTATTGCCTGGAAGGAAGGAGGGCGGAGCGAAGAAGCCAGGGTTCTGGTTGCTAATCTCCTCCGGAGAACACAACCCGGTGTGTCTGGCTGTGTTGTCTGCAGAGCAGTAGATTCCAGTCCTTCCCCTGCTGGGTCTCTAAGCCCTTCCAGAAGGAGGGTTAGGAAAACAGCAGTTCTGTGCTGTTGGGGATGTGGGCAGCCAAAGTACTTTTGGAAATGAGTACTCTTAAATTAAAAACTAATAAATAAAACCTGAACTCAGTAGTCTGGGAATGGAGACAATGCCTTACCTTCCCTGACCCATTATTGGTTGTGCTCGGTGCTCTAAGAAAGCCACCCCACCTCCTTTCTTTAAGAATTCTGTAAAGCCAGGTGGTAGCTCAGCCTTAGAGCAACGTGGGAGGAGAGCAGCAAAACAAAACAAGATTTGTTCTAGAAGGGGGAAAAAATGAAAGTAACAAAGTAACAATGTGGAGATTCAAATTACATAGTAACAGAACAATTAAGAAAAACAGGCCTGCTGTCTGCCCTGGCTTCAAAGCAGGCTTCGCATTCCCTCCTGTGATGTGCTCAGGTATTAGGAGTTGTTGACAAGATGAGGATGTGTAATTAGAATATACATTTTTAAAATTGCCTCTTAATGCTGGGAGCTCTAACTAACAGCCAAGCCCTCAAACTTCAGGTATTTAATTAGCCAGCGCTCAGCAGGGATTCCGTTTTGTTTGTTGACTTAACTTGGGGGTCATTCCTGAAGTTTTGATTTCAGTACTGTGCTGCCTGTTTGTAGGGTAGGAACATGGTGGATTCTTTGCTCTTGGCCCCCAAAAGAACAATTTTCATGGCAGCAGCTGGGCATAAAGGCGTGCTATTAGATTCCTATTAACACCTTTTCTCTGGAAGCATTTTCTAAGAGAGTGGTAACTTTGCTATCAGATTTGGCAAGCAGGTCAGCTTTCTGTTTTGTTTTGTTTTGGGAAGGGAGCATTGGATAGTACAGAATTGAATGTTTTCTGTTCACCTTGGAAACTTAAAGGAAAATGTAACTTTATTCTTGTATCTATGTTGCCAGTTAGGGTGGGGCCACTTGGACTCAGAGGGGAGCTGAGCCCCAAGATTCAGCCCCTTTGCCTAGAGAACTAACTGGTAGGCATGGAGTCTCTTCAGTTTCCAGACCAGCACAAAAGAATGTATGTTTTAATGCAAGATGTGCCAAGCATTTTAATGTTACCGTTTTAGTGCACAATTTCTGTGTCTCCACAATGACCTGATACAAAGGTTGTGTTACTTATTCCACTATGGGTTTTGTGGCAGCCCTGCTTTCTGAAACTGAACAGAATTCTCTTGTTTATTTTTGTTGGTCTGAATGTATCAGTCAAGGCTGCAGGGGGAAGGGGTGTGGTTGAGGTGGATGGCACAGGGAGAGAAGGGTAGATGCCAATATGTGTCTGAAGGGAGCTGGTAGGGAAATGCTGAGGTCAGTGGTGGCCACTGGCCTTTCGGGTGTCTTTTGTGGCTAGTTTTCTAGGCTCCTATTGAGGGTGCCCTGAAGTAACACATGCAGAGGAAAGTTGGGATAGACAGAGAACCAAGCTGCACACCAGGAGCTGCTTGCTGGGTGCAGAATGTGCCAGACACTTCTGGACTTGGCGGTCTTAATTGACTTCATTGTGTTAGGGTGCTGAAATGGAGTTGTGTTCAAATGTACAGGCTGTGTGTGGATGATAAAGCAGTCCACTTAATAATTGCAATTTTTTGTCTGCTAAACTTAAGAAAAAAA